AGTTTGCCTCAGAATTTTTTAGTCAATGTTTAGATTATTTTTAATAGCTTAGTTAGGTTATGTCATTGAATGTATACATGTTTAAATTTTAATATAATATTAATTATCGATAAAGTAAAATTTTATTTAATTATATATTTTTTTTAAAAAATATAAGTATCATATCAATATTGTAATCTAATTAAATGGGTAGACCTAATAGTACTGTACACGCCCTGACTTGACAAAACTGAAGGCGATAATCGTTAGCACAATTCCTCAGCGTATCCTACTTCAGAGGCTTAACTCGGACTAAGACCAAGATTTCATGTCCTAAATTCTCTATGTATTTTTTAAAATATTTAAATAAAAATGAAAGAGGAGAACTAAAGTCCAACCCAATACATGTTTTATTTAAAGACCCAATCCGGAGGCATTAATTGAGTTAGTGCTTTCTTAATTTAACATTTTGGTACCCCTCTTGTCTTTTTTATATTAATTTAATTGCTAAGATAGTGTTTGTTTATTTAAGTATTTTTCTTGTTTTGAAATTTATTTAAAAATCCAAACCTATTTAACTTTTAAAAGAAAAAGGTAGAGAAAGGGAAGGTGGTGGCGGTGTCAGGTTGATGAGCTATGGACAGCTTGATTGGTATTGGTAGGTCAATATCATCCTTATCGTCACTGTCATTTCTTCGACTTAAATTGACAAATACAGAAATAAAAAACATTCTAAAAAAGGAAGCTGGGCAACTGCATTAAACGGATAATTACTGAATAAATCCAATTAAAAGTTTTTTCATTGTTAAATTTATTAAAGTTTAATCCGAATTAAAAGGAGTTGGCTTAATATAAAAATAAATGCTTAATGTTTTAAAAAATTATTTTGGTGTTTAAATATTTTTTTGTTAAAAATAAGTTCATAACGTTTTTTTGTTATATTTATATTTTTTTAATTTTTAAAAATAATAATAATAAAATCATTATTTAAAAAAACTTAATTTATTTATAAAAAACTCAAATGTTTAATGAAATTATAAAAAAATTATAAAATTAAAATATCTCATTTTAATTCACATTATCAATTGTCGCTAGTTATATCCGGCCACCATCATCGATGTACACTTGGATTTTGATCGAAATTGTATGGTGGTTCGAATGTTGGTGGCGATGTGACTTATAGACGTCGTGATTACCTGAAATCAACGAAAAACAATGAAGGTGGCTTAAATCCGACGAACATTTGAACGTTTCTCTACGGCAAACAATGACACTTTACAACAAAAGTTCAATGGGGATTTTGTCGGAATTCTTAAAATTATCAAAATATGATATGTATCATTTAACGATCAAATTTAATGATCGTTACGGTCTAAACACTTAAAATCTCCGATGAAATTATTAAATTCTTATTTTTAATAAAATTTCTTTAGACACTAAAATATTTTTCGTAACAAAAGTTTATGCACTTAATTTTATATTAAGCCAATGAATTTTGAATAATCTCTAATCGTCAAGAGATTTGACAATGTTCATATACTTAAATTGAAGTTAAAACTCCAAAGCCACATATTAAGAAAGAAGAAAATCAAACGTAAAACGAAACTCCATCCATTTACAAAGGCAGAAAAACAAGGGGAGGACAAAAATATCCTGTTGTAAGAAAAACAGGCAGCACATCACATCATCTTCAAGGTTAAGTGTCGGTCGTGTAATGCCAAAACTATTAACTTTAATAACAAGTCCAACACTGCTGCTCTTAATAAAAATCATTCTCTCTCAAAAAAAAAACAAAGGCTTTATTGTGTTGTAATTTCCCTCTCCATCCTTCTCTCTTGTTAAACTTGCTGTTTGTTAAGCAAACCTCTCTTCTATAGGATCTAAATTTCTTGGGAAAGAAACACCCACTTTGGGTCTCTCTCTTTTCATTGTTATCATAGAATTTTGTGAGAGAAAAAAAAGCAAAAACAAATGGGAGTTGATTTGAGGCAAGTAGTGGCTGGTATACTCACTCTCACCATGTTTGTGATGCTTGGTCAAATGATTAGAAGAGACCATTTTGATTCTCTTCAAGTAATGTTTCTGTCTCAATTTATCTTCTCTTCTCATTACATTGTTTTTTTTTTTGGTATGAAAGTAAATCTGAATCTGTTGCTTCAGTTTGCACTTCATTTTCCACTTTGCTTGGCATCAAATATGCAATTTCAAGGAAAAACACAGGGTTTTACAACCATGATCTTTAAGTGTTGTCTTTGGTACCTGTCTGTGTATTATTGAAGTTAGATTTTATCACAAATAATTGTTGATTCATGAAGAAGACACGAGGCTTTAACTTGAAACTTGTTACTTTGGTACAAAATTAAACCCGAGTTGCTTACACTTCAACCTTTGTTTGATTTCTTTTCAGATCCTCATATTCACTTATATGGTCTTTGTTCTGCCCTTGTCATGTAGGAAACACTGCCTGGAGAAAGTCAGGATGTTCAATTCGACAGTGCCAATACTATCGTGAACGATGGCCTCGTTAAGCTTTCGAAGAGGAGCAAAGGGCCTTGGATGGAGGACATCCAAGAGCTAAAACCGTGCTGGAGCAGGACCGATTTCGGTTCGTTAAATTCTCCAAATTTCTCCGGAAAAAATTGATATAAATTTGTCATATGTGTATGCAGATATCCCACAGTCATCAATGTGCACTCATAGGTAGAAATTTATGCTTAATGCTTCTCTTTAACTGATATTGTTCTTGCTTGACTAACAGATGAGATTGAGCAGTGGAAAGGGTATGTTACTTTCTCATTGACGAATGGTCCGGAGTACCATGTCTCTCAGGTATATGAAAGTTCCTTTTCTATTGCACTCTAATCTATTGATTAGATAGCATTATCTTGTTTCCCATCTCATTTACTATTCATTCTGTGGTGGATTGTTCTTATCAGATAGCTGATGCCATAGTCGTAGCAAGGTATCTATCGGCAACTCTGGTCCTTCCGGACATCAGAGGAAGCAAACCTGGCGACAAGAGGTTCGTGCTCATGCTAATTTTAATGATCTCCCATGTAGAGTTTTAAGCAGCATAACTTTGAGATGATCTAAAATTTGAAAATATGAATGGTACTAAGATAATTGAACTTTTATCAGAAACTTTGAAGATATTTATGATGTCGAGAAGTTCATGAAAAGCCTGGATGGGATCGTCAAAGTAGCAAAAGAGTTGCCTAATGAAATATCAATCAGGGATCTTGCAGCTGTGAAGGTTCCCAATCGGGTCACCGAAGATCACATTGTGGAAAGTGTAGAACCGGTATTTAGATCAAAGGGCAACATAAGGCTCGCGACGTACTTCCCTACCGTGAATATGAGAAAAACGGCACAACAGAGTAGGGTTGATTCCGTCGCATGTTTGGGAATGTTTGGAACCTTAGAGTTGCAATCAGAGGTTCATGAAGTTGTCGATTCAATGATTGAACGACTTAGAACATTGAGTCGCAAATCAGATGGCCAGTTTATATCAGTGGACTTGAGGGTTGAGATACTCGAAAATAAAAATTGCCATAGAAGTAGCTCCACCAGGACGAAAAGTTGTTATAATGCAGAGGAGATAGCTTTGTTTTTGAGGAAGGTAGGATTCAATACAGATACCACCATATACCTGACTCAATCAAGGTGGGATAACAGCCTTAGTGTCTTGAAGGATATCTTTCCTAAGACATACACAAAGGTAAGTTCATATATTTTTTAAAATCATTTGCTATGATGCAGTAATCTGCAATTTATGTTCAATGTTTAATGCTTGCAAATAATCAGTGATTACTAGTAGCTCAATCTCGAAACACAACTTTGCTATTTGCTATTATTCTGAACATCTGTTTGACACTGGAGCTAATGTAGGAAACCATAATGCCAGAGGAGAAAAAGGGGATGTTCCTTGAATCCGAAGATTCAGAATTTGAAAAGTTTATAGACTTCTACATATGTTCTCAGAGCGACGTCTTCGTACCAGCCATCTCCGGCCTGTTTTATGCCAATGTAGCTGGAAAAAGAATAGCTTCAGGGAAACCTCAAATCCTTGTTCCAGCTGATATACCTGGTACATCTGCGGCCGTCACCAACTACCTCTCTCCCTATGTTGCCAAGAAGAATCACTTGGCTTATTCGTGTTTCTGCTAACCCTCCGTTCCAAAGAATGTTCGGAAGGGTGTTGGTTCGACGCATGCGTTTGTGGAAGCGTTCATAAAAGGGTTTGGGGTCGTCCCATTTACCTCAATTTGAGTCTTTCTGAGTGAGTAGAGAGAGAGACCAACTTTGGTGTTCATAGTCGGGTGTTAAGTGCCCTTGATAAAAGTTATCTGTTAAGATGGTTGTTCATTAATGTGTTTTTTCAATAGGGTAAGAAATGTTAAAAAGGTTTTGAGTCAATAATGTTGTTTGATGTGATCTGCAAAACTTCATTTCTATAATTTATTCATTTGTAACAAGGTTGCACTTTGTTTTTACTTTCCTTTTGGTCGTTTGGATGGTAAGAACTTGAACTTTGACAATGGAAAGCAAGAGTCAAAATAACTAACTACATAGTTAAAATTAAATTAAATTAAAATTGTATAAGAAATATTTTTTATTAAACCAATGGATTCAGTAACAGTTAAATGGATTTGACAGGTTCATTGTTTCATACCATTGAAAATGGTTGACCACTGATTCTCGATTAAATCAATTAATGTTTATATGGATTATTGGACAAGATACTATCCAATTTAGTTTGATGTTTGACTTATCAAAATAATAATTTGGAACAGCCAAAACTGTGATTTTGGTTTAAGATGAAAAGCCAACTAATTTAATACGACAAAAGGAAGTGTAAACAAAACATAGCAAAGAAATGGAATTCACTAAATTTTCAATTTAGAAAGCCCAGGCAAGCGAGCGATTATTTCATAATTTGGTGCCACCCTCGGGGCTTCCACAACCCTAATCTTATTTACAAATTGCAAAAGCTAAAGCTTTAGAAGCCTAATCTTTATTTGTTTTTGCAGGGAAAGAATTCACAGACACTACAGTACCAAATGGTTCATGCATTCTGAGATGCTTTGTTTCGTCGAAATGGCTTCGTGAAATACTTGGTGACTGGAGTCTCAGGAACCGGAATGAGCTTTCCAACGATCGCAAGAGGCCAGCTTTAACACGTAAAAATAACAAAAGTAGCAGTCATCAATGAAGGCTAAAAAAACCAGTAGCTACTTTCCAAATTTCAACTATTCTTGCAATGGAAAAACAACGTAGTTGTTTAACACGCATCAATTATCAAGAGTAATATGGATATTCTTGACATTCTATCAAGGTGTACTTGGATGACTAAAATTGACAAGAAGAGCAAGAGCTTACCTGATGAAGCCAATGCCGATGGATTCAAGCCATAGCTGCCAATCAAGTCTGACCGTGCTGGTGAACTTTCCGAGGAACTCAATAATGATTACCTAAGACAGTCTTGGAATTAGTATCAAGGTTACTACAAACAAGATAGAATCAGTTGTAAAAGAGGATAAGATGATTGATCACCTGAAGAATTAATGTAAATCCAATTATCCCCATAAAGAGGTAGTTTTTAGTCACTCCTTCGAAGCAATTCATTTCTTCCGGCTTTCTAGCATTAAACTCATTGAATAGCTGTGATTTGGAACAGTGATTCAAATTATGCTTTACACTAATTGCAATTTTGATTCAAATAGATATGCTTCAGCACTCATGTAGAATTTTCTCTCATAATATAATCAAGGGTTACTTGCACATTTGGTACTTGACCTATGGTCATATTCTTGATCTGGTACTTTAAAAAATCGAAATTAAGTGCTTGAACTTTGGTTCCATCCATAAATCTTCACAGAAAGCTAACCAGATGATTCAAATGGGTTATGTGTAAACGATAACCCAATAAAACTGCAAGAAGTGACATGGCAAATGTTTATTGGCCAATTCTTGATATGCATCCATTTGAATAATGGTATCTGGGCAAATTGACAGACAGGATCAAAGCTCAAGTAACAAATTATGAATGCTTTGACCCTTAGCTACCAGATCGACAGTTTAACCATAAGCTTTGGTGCTAAATGAGTGATTAACCTTAAAACTAATTCCAGCAAATCGAAAAACTGCTCCAAGCAGTTCACACTTGTCATTAAGTACTTACTTGGCACATGACAAATGCATTGAATATCAAAGTATTCTTCACTTTATAAGCATGTCCGCTGTCAGGGTCATCCTTCAAATGAAGAATTGTCAAGCCTTCAAAATTGAGCACGAGGAGGACAGTGACTTGATATGAGGCCTGACATGATATGTGAAAAGATGATAAGAGAAGATGGAACTGCAAAGCTACATTTTCCAGACAGTGGTCTGCGTTAACAACTCTCTCAATTAAATAAACTTTCAACTATGACCAGTTAAAAGCTAAGAGGGGAACATAATTAGTCTCGTGTGAGGGCCCAAGAAAACAGGTACCTGTATGAGTAAGTTCCTCCACATGACGTTTGTAATTAGAGGTTCCCTGAGAAATAAAACAATTATATTAAACACCAAAAGACAATTTGTAGTAATAACAACCAAAGAAATCTTCCTTGGAGAAGACCAGTACTCAAGTTTTAAAGTCTGTAGTAATAACATAAGAAATCTGCTGTAAAACTCGAGAACGACAATATCAACCCAAGAAATCTTTCTCTTCTCTCTGTTTTTTCTTCTAATACTCTATTCTCTTTTTAAATCAGTCACATTCTGTGACTGGCGGAAACTTGATTTCTTTCAAATCAGAGAGTCCAACAATTGAGAAGAACTACAACGAATATTGTAAAATCATAGAAGTCTTTGAACGACAAGTATGGCAATGTTTCAAAGATAAACCAAATTCCCAAAATTTAGAAAACATTGTATATTTTCTAAGAAAAAGGTTAAAACCATTTGTAAGAATGAGAAAACTCTAGTGTTTTACCCATCTAAAATTGGAAATATGAATTTGGATTAATTTGATAGATGGTTGCCATATCAATGTTAGCAGAAGTGATACCATAAAATTAGAATGCTAAAAAAACAAAGTACACAATGGAGATCATGAGCAAAGGAGTTCAAACCTTCGGCCAACTGGTGATCTATGCATAAGGTTGTCAGTTGGTGGTTCAGTAGCCAATGCAAGTGCTCCAAGAGTATCCATGATCAGGTTAACCCATAGTAACTGTGCCAAGCAAATTAAAATTTTCAAACTTCGCTCATCAGAAAGAGATGTTTTACTTTATGTAGTTTCTTATGTTGACGGAACTATAGTAAAATATCCTACCCGTTGTTCCCCCCCACCCCTACTTTTTTACTCCAAGAGAAACAACAGAAAGTCTGAATTCTATGTTGCATGCATATTCCACTAAATATAAAGTTTCATCACCACATACAAACAGATACAGAAGGAAAAAGTGACCATTGAACAGCTCATCAATTCATGGCCTAACCCCCTGAAACGGTCATAAATCTTATTCAGGCTTTTAAACTGTAATGCCCACCTCTAAAACATGAAAAGCATAGTTATGAATTAGCACTTGAAAAGCTTATTTATGAACTACGAGAAAAAGAAAAGCTCATTAAATATTTCAGGAGGACAACAAGCCACTTCTATCACCTCTTCAATACCTTAATTAAATTAAAATAATGTATTTCAAAAAGATTGCTTATAATCATCAAAAGTATAGGCGGCCCAAGAAATGTTTTACTGCATACTGTGACACAAAATAGCTACCAATGAGCCTTATCCCCCTCGTACAATAAAATTAGCTATGTGGTATGCTCTATTCTCCAGAGTAGGACGTTCCTGGTAACTATGGTCCACAACCCATCTAGAAACATGAACCATCAAGGATGCAAAAGATAAAAGAAATCCATAGATTATTTGTACCCTCTATGATGATATTACAGTACCAATATTAAAGGTGTTTCAACCATCCGTTGGATAGTAAACCAGAAAAATAAATTTCATAAGCAAGGAGTCAGAATAGATTTGGGTATTTTAAGCATTTTTATTGTTGTGGAAAAACTAGAGAATATTCACTAAGGTGTAACCTTTTGACTATAGTCAAATTAATTAGGAAGAGATGCAGGGACATTGAACAGCAAAGAAAGAGCTATACCTGTACTGAATTTAAAGGAACATCACCGGAGGATATCGCTGCCACGACATTGATTACAAGAGCTGCAACATTAACTGTAAGCTGGAATTGTATAAACTTCTGAATATTGGCATAGACAGAACGACCCCAGCGAACAACCTAGATTAAGGACACAACAATAAGCCACAATTTACAGAAATTTGATATAAGCCTTTCCTCATATTCAGCAGTAAGATACAGGAACGGAGGAAAGATTACTATCTATTTGAAAGCATGCATCTACTAACCTTCACAACAGAAGCAAAATTATCATCCAATATAATGATATCTGAACTTTCTTTTGCAACTTCAGTCCCTTGAATACCCATAGACAGACCTATATCTGCCTAAAATACAGAAAAACTAAAAAAGCAATCAATATTGGATAGAAAATGCGTCAAATGGGGACAACAGCAAATTAAGTTATGGAAGAAATGGCACAGTCACCATGCAGTACCAGATACAAAATAAGGGTTCATTAGATATAGGAACAAAGCTGTTCAAATGAAAGAGAATTGGTCCAAGGTAGTTCGCATAGCTGGTTGTAAGCAATAGAACAATTTTCCATGTTTGATGACATGGTGATCACACAATTTTGCCCTATAATATTAGCGATGGCCCAAAATTGTGCGGAAAAGCATAAAGTTTGGCATTTATAAATGAGTATGAAAGTTGTGCAAGTATAATGCGGGTACGTGAAGATACTAAGCCAATGCTTAGCACATATAAGATGCATCATATAGAATCATCATTACAAGGAGAATGAAGAACAAATAAATCTAACTCAAACTAAAAAACGAACCTCATGAAGTGCAGGAGCATCATTAGTACCATCTCCAGTCACAGCCACAACATCCCCGCCTCTACGTAAGGCTTGAACAAGCAAAAGCTTATCATTTGGAGAAGATCTCCCCATTACCTATGGAACACCCCTAGTTAGCTACATTTTCATGTTTGAATCAACTATGTAGCTTAGTTTGAGAAAAGTTGTCAGGAACTGAAGGCAATATAGTCAGGTAATTATAGCCAAAAGATACCATTATTTTCGTGGCGATTTGTTCTCTTTCTTTATCAGATAAGTCACGGAACACCTTTCCTTCAATGATGGTAGGCTCAGTGGCATCTTCAGCAGAACCGAGTATCCCACACTCTAAAGCTATGGCTCTTG